GTCGTTGTCCCTCATGGCGCCATGGCGCCGCGTCCCCGGCCCCGTCCGGAGAGGGGACACGAGCCCTGAGGGGATGAGTCTGTCCTTACACTGGGCGTGAGCCCTGCGGGGGTGGGCCGGCCCCCACGCTGGGGGGGGGACACGAGCCCTGAGGCGGTGGGACCGTCCTCGCAGCGAGCTGGGCCTGCTTCTCGCCCTCCCTGCTGGAGGAGAGCGGCCCCTTTCCAGAGCAGCCTCCCCAGTGCCCGTCAGTGCCTCTGCAAACCCTCCTCCTCACCGCCGCTCAGCCTCTCCCAGCAGGAGAGGGAGTTTCAAGCCAGATCTTTTCAGCAGAGGGTCCTAAACCCACCATCAACTCCGTAACGTTCCCCAGGCTCCGCTCAAAGCCAGCTCAGCCTCTTGTGAACCTGCAGAAAGTCCTGGGGGACACTGGGGCCCGAAGTGCTCGTCCGCCCGAGACCTGCGGCCGGACTGCCAAAGCGTCGGGGCTGCCAACGCTTCCCACGCTCCCCCGCGCAAACCTGCGGTAACGGTGTCCGGCAGCGGTGCCAGCAGCCGCCGTCTTCCCTCACACCCTGCGCTGGCTGCCGAGAGCCGAGATTCACAGAGCAGAGCCTGCTGCAAAAATCCAGCTCCTGTTTTTTCTCACCAGGGCGCGGAACAACTATTTTATCAGCCCTCTGCGTGACTGACTCAACACCACGTTTCATACTGACGGTTCGAGTGTTTCTCTGCCTGGGTGCCAGCGGGGCGACGCGGGTAACTGAACCGTGCAGACTTTTGGGTTCGTTTCTGCAAGCTGTTTCCCCGCTGCCCCCGCACCAGCTGGTGCACGAGGAAGTCAGACGGGAGCTTCGTGGCACGCGTTCCTGCAGGAAACCGGTGCCTTTGCCACAGCCACCGCGTTACCAAGGGTACGGTGGGGGAAGCAAGCCTGGGGAACAGGCTCCGCACAGGTTTTGCTTTTTTAATGTCTGTTTAGCTCCGTGGAGTCAAGCACGCACAGGAGAATGTCAGCTTTCACTTTGCATTGAAAGTTTCCTAGACGCCAAAAAAAAAAATTAATAACAAAGGCAAAATAACTCAAAACTCAAAAGGCAATGAAAAACAGCTCAATGTTTATCTTCAGAAAAGCCTTGGGGTTTTGAAGGCAGGTTGGGGGGGTGTATCCTACTGCTTTACCCCAGTCAAGGCAGACAGGGAAAGATCCAGTAATACTGCCAATTTCCTGGTTCAAACAAAACAACGGCAGTATTAGCAGCTCATCCTTTCAATATATTTTGCTGTTATCTACGGTTCAAGCACTGTGCAAAGGGATTTGCGGTCTGCTCTGGACACCGGGCTGCAATACGACGCTTGCTCCTTCCCCACAGAAACTCCTTTTAGCTGTTGGGAGAATGTTCGCACCACAGGGACAGCTACGCCTCCAAAGCCTGACTCCTGAAGGTGAGCTGCCACCGAAGGTGAGGTTCACTTTCTTCTCTTGGCGACTTCTGTGCCACAGGTGTCATTTTAGATTCCGGAGCAGGAAAGGGCGGGCAGTGAGCCTGGTTGTCCAGAGCTGCCTTAGGGACACCACGGTAAAGCACAAAGCTGCGTTCAGCCGTTAGAACAAGCGATCTGCATCTCGCAGGCCACCAGAGCAAGTGGGGATGTCTCTCTTGATGCCTTGCGTCAAAAAAATAACTCCCCGTTTAAAGCAGCGAGGTGGAGTTTTCTGCTCCAAGAGAGCAGACGGCTCTGCGATAGCTTGTCCTTGCTTTAAAGACAGTTCATGAGCATGCCTGGCAGTGCCAGCATGACATGACGTGTGCCCACAAGATCTGATAGTCTCATCCCACCTCTTGACTCATCTCCAGGGAGAAAATGCTTCTGAGCATTCACCCAGGAACCTCCAGCTCCGCATCGTTTGGTGGCCACTACTTGGATCTTGGGCAAACTATTTGCTCTCGGCCACTCCGCAGCAACTCCTGTGTGTCGCTCCTTGTTCCCGATCTCCCAGCCCAAGCCTGCTCTGGCCACCGGGGCTTGCCTGCTTTACCTTCAGCCTTGTGCATCTCCCAGCATCCACCTTCCAAGCTGCAGCCTTGCTCCCGAGCATGCATTTCTCCCTTCTCTGGTTTCTTGGTCTTCCACCCTTCCTTCTCCTGATGGGGGTGGATGGCTCCACTCCTCACTCCGAGGATGCCCCTCACCCCTTGGCCTGGCCTGGCAGCTCACATCTCAAATTTCTCAATAACCGAGGTGTTTGGCGTCTTTAAACAGTTTGGCTTCTCTGGGCCTGCCCTGGCTTTTAGCCAGCTCAAGGGAGAAGAGCAAACAGGCGCAAGCACACGCTCCGGCCACGCGGCAGCACAACCCCCAAGGCTGAACTAGCTCTTCTACGTGAGAGCATGCAGGAAACAACCCCGGTGAGGAGGGAGCGAAGGCAGAGAGGACGAGGCGAGGCACATCAGTCCAGACAAGGAGACACAGAATTAAAAGGACTCTCATTCGATCCACTTGGTGCAGCTCGGGAAGGGCAGTGCACTACCTCAGAGCTTGCTCGCCGTTGAGAGAAGGGCAGCCAGGGCTCAGTGAGATTTAACTAACTACTGCAAGGGCCACTGCTCAGGTAATTTGAACTGTTTTTCCTGCTTGGCCCTGTGTGGACAAGCCCCGAGCTGGAGCAGCGCAGCAGGAACACAGGCAGCAAACCTGAGAAAGGTTTGCTACCTGCTTTCAGGCAGCATCTCCTCTTTGGAACCAGGGTCTAGGAGAGGGTCCGCGAGGGCTCAGTGCTCCTGGATGCAGCTGCCGCAACCGTTTCCCCCAAAAGGTAGTCGCTAATGTGCCGAGCGAGCTGGTGGTAGAGGGCTAACCCAACCACTGAAACCACAAGGACTGAAGCGATGATGATTTGGGGAAATACCTGCTGATCGGGTTTGAAGATGCTGTGGCCGGGGCTGGGCCCTTGGTAGAGGGTGACGGAGAGAGATCCCACGTGACTCACCCTGGCCAGGGCATAGCCTCACCCCACGGACGAGGCTGGGGGTGAGAACCTACGAGGCTGGGCTGTCTCCCGGGACTGGATCCAGCCCATTCTTGCAGGGTTTAAGCCCTCTTGAACGCTCTGCCACGTTGTCTCCCCCATTACCAGTCTATGCTGGGCTCCTGGTATGGGCTGGGCGCGTTTGACCTGACTTCCAACTTGCACCCTGCCGGTACCGCCCTCACTGGGTGCTCCCCAGGGCAGGGCAGAGGCAAGGGAACAACAGCCGTGCTGCAACATCCCCTCCTTCCAGGCCAGGCAGGGGGGCAAATTTCCCAGCGCAAATCTTTCCAGCGATAAAAATGAAGACGAGATCTCTGCCACGTGTAACCCCGGCTAAAATGCACGCTGCCGCACGAGAACAGCACCCCGGGAGGTGGCGGAGGACCCCATCGACCACTGTGCTGCAAAGCTGTGCTGCCACAGGGAGGCCCCAGCACCTACACGTCTGCCAAGGCGTTTCCGACGGCTGCTGGGGAAGGTGCCCAGATCCCATGGTGATGGGCACTGCTGGAAACCTCACCGGAGGC